CCCCAAAACCCCAAAACCCCAAAACCCCAAAACCCCGTGACGTCAAATTCTAAAGTATCGAGGCATCAAATTTACCATTAAATTAAATGCTTAATTAATGAATATTCACTTATTTGAACAGATCTTTTGCATCAATTTAATAATATTTTTCTAAACTAATTTGATCAGACTAATCTGACCTTTAAGTTTCACCAGAATATGGAATCCTTCCCCCTAGCCAACCAAGACTCAAATTTCTCGTTGAACTCATCTTTTAGTTCAAGCTCCAACCCAATCCTCAGCACCTCGACCAGCCTGGTCTAGAATGGCTTTGATGGAGTCTCAACTCAAAGCTCAACAATTATTCAGACCCAATCAGTAAGCTCAAACTCAAATATTGTTTCAATGAGTTCCACTGTTAATTCCACCCCAGTTCTGAGAAAGCAGCACTAAAGCATCAAGAAAGAACCAGAGGATGAAGAATTAATCCTGGCCCGCTCCATATTCATAAAAAATGTTGACTACTCTACTAATAAGAGAGACCTAGAGGATCATTTCAAGGATTGTGGGTCAATCACGAGATGCAAAATTGCCACTGACAAGGCAACTGGCTAGCCTCTAGGTTATGCTTACATTGAGTTCGCTACCAATGAAGGAGCTCAACGCTCAAAGTTGTTAAATGATAGTCTATTTAAGGGCAGACAAATAACTGTTATGGAGAAGAGAAAGAACAAGCCTGGAATGGGCAAGAGTGGATACAAGCAGCAGAAGATGCTGATGTAGAACTAGCATGCCACTTAGATTCTAGCATAGGCAGTGAGTGCCGCCCTCTCTGGAAACCTGATGGGTAATTTGTTGACAACTGGTTTGATGGGAAGAGGCAGAGGGCTTCCCAATATGAGAGGAGCAAACGCCTTCAAGAGAGGCGGTGGAGGCAGATTCAGGCCTTATTGAGTTCAGATATCTGTAAATACTCTTCAGTTTAATTATTTTGATTTAATAATTTTACTTAGTAGATCTTTTTACTAAACAAGGGGTTTTGGGGTTTTGGGG